TATCAAGAAGGACGTGTTTTTATTTAATGATACGTGTGTAGATTCTATCCATTGATTTCACACCACTAAAGTTAATCTCAGAGCCCTGGTGGCATTGTGGTTAACAGCTTGGCTACTAACCAAAAGGTCGAGAGTTCAAATCCACCAGCTCCTCCTTGGAAACCCTATGGGGCAGTTCTATTCTGTCCTACAGGGTTGATAAACAATTCTCAAGTTTTTAGTAAAGATCGCTTGAAATAGATACCTTAGAGAAGCAGAAGGTAAGAGTTAAGTAGGACGTTGAGTATTTATTATTACCCTAATTTAATAATAGCCGTTTACTCCTTTTTTATAAGAGAGACTGGTGGTTCCGTGGTAGAATTCTCACCTTCCATGCTGGAGGGCCAGGTTTGATTCTCAGTTAACGTACCTCATGAGCAGCCACCACCCATCTGTCTGTGGAGACTTGCATGTTGCTTTGAAGCTGAACAGTTTCAGTGGAGCTTCTAGACTAAAATGGACTAGGAGGAAAAACCTGGAGTTCTACTTCTGAAAATCAGCCAGTGAAAACCCAATGGATCACAACAGTTCAATCCGAAACCCACTAGAGTTTCGTTGTGCATGATGTCACCGTGAGTCAGGAGCTGACTCCAAGGCAGCTAACAGCACCTTTTTACTTACATTATCTCATTAACCCTTGTAAGAACCTTTTAAGGTAGGTACACTTAATTGAGACACATGAGGCTAAATACCCTGCCCAAGGGTCCACCAGAAGGATATAGAAGAGGCAAGGTTTGAGCTCAGACAATTATGACAGTAAAAATTATATTTAAAACCTGAATACTGCCTCCACATTACACATCAATAGTCTTGACCCTTCCTCCCAACAGTTAACTCCCAACTCCATGTAGAACACTGTACAGGCTAACATAGTCTGCCACCATATCTTTCTTCTGGATGGCAAAGCTGAAAGAACTTGGGCAGTATATCCTAACTTAGATTGAATCCTTGCTCGAATATTGTTTTCCTAAGTAAGTTAATTCTTCACCTGTAAAATGGGGGAAAGTAATACCTTAGAGAGCCACTCTGAAGATTTAATTGAGATACCACATGTGAAAGTATTTAGAACAATGTTTGGCAAATAATGATAGATGTTTAATAAATATTAGTTTCCTTTCTTGCTTCTCTTGCCAGACGAAAGTCATGTTTCCTTACAAAGTCAGTTTGCGTGGAAATGCTTCCATGACTCTCAGCTCACCATAGAAGTCTTAAGAAGTTTACTCACTACATTAAATAGAGTTTAGACATGGAATCTCAGAGGTTTTTCATCTCCCAGGTTTGAGCAGTGTATGCTGTGGGAAGCCACAACAGAGGTTGATATAAGCTAAGGTTCTGGATTCTCTCTTCTGGATTGGGCAGGCTTTTTAGAGCATTGTACTTTCTACAGCTTTTGCTTTTCTCTCATCTCTCTTATATAACCTTTCCCTCCACTTCCAAAATACATTTTTACACAACTGAACTCTAGCTAAAGCTGCTTATATGCCATTTCTCAAAGATGCCTTATCACTTCCTATTCTTATGCCTTGTCTCATTCCAGGCTCTCTCTGAAATACCGTCTACAAAAAACTTACCTGTTAAACTTCTACCTTCAAGGCCCAACTCAAATACCTCCTACTTCGTACATCTGCTCTGATCACTCCAGATGGAAGAGACCTTGCTGTCTACTAAACCACTGGAGCACTGAGTATCAGTCATCTGACAGATTGCAGGCACTTTTGTGTCTGAGGCTAAAAACGGACTGAATGGAATAATGGCTTAAAATGGCAACAGATGAGCAATCCCCTAGGCGGCCTCCCCCAACTCCTTATTAAAATATCTGTGAAATCAGCAAAAGCCAGATTTTTACAAATATGTGAAAAACTAAGACCAATAGGCAATGTGTTATCAGAATCAGAAAGAGTTTCTACTAATTTAAAAAGCAGAAGAACTAGATTGAGAAACTTTAAAAACTGTTTTCCCACAAAAATAGATTAAAATTCTTGGCCTGAAAACAGGACCACCTTTTGCTCTTCCTCAACTATTTGCCCCCTACTCAGAAACACAGGAGCCCTGCCACCCACCAATGACCCAAAATAATAAAAATAAAAAGGTGTGGGGCAAACATTCCTCTGTCACATAGGTGATATTTTAGGGGGTAGTCAGGATGCTATCCCCAAATCCCTACCCCAGGGATTTAAAATAGTTAAAAATAATAATAGAATGAGAAAAAGGTTGAAAGGAACATACAAAATAATAATAATAATAGGATGGCAGTATTAATAGTTTTTAAAAGTAAGATGAGAAGCCAAACATAAAATTAAGGGAAAGCAAAATATTTCATATTGTTAAAATGTGCAATGAAAATATAAGTGGTTATGAATCTCTTTGCAGCAAATAACACAAAGGCCGAAATAGATAAAGCAAAAACAATTAGAAATATAAGGAGAAATGACAACACAATTATTGTGGAAGACTCCTATATCTTTCAGGCTTTGATACAGCCAGTAGGAAAAAAGTAAGGAATTACTAGATTGGAATATCTTTAAAAAATATGTAATAATATAATCAATAAGCTTATATGTCTGTGTACTTTGTATATACAGGTATGCGTTGCTTAACATCCACATCGCTTAACAATACATTCTGTGAAATAGGACGTTATGTCATTTGGATGTTGTGTGAACACCATATTATATAGAGGAGAAAGGCGCACAGGACCGTCACTGGGCAGGCCCAGGACCTGCGCCGCCGCCGCAGAGCCAAGGGACTGCTTGAAAACTTTGGCTCTACCACCACCAGTCCTGCGTGGTTGCCGCCCAGTCTCCAAGAGCCGCACCTGGCCCCCACCCTCCTGCCACAGTGCACATTCACCGTCCAGCCGGCTGCCTCCAGGCTAGCCATCACTAGCTCCCTTCCCTTCCTTCCTCCCTACCTGCCTTCTCTGCCCCTCCCCTCATGGGCATTAAACTTTTCCAGCCCCACCCACCCCTCCTCTGCCTCCTCTGCCTGCCGCCTTTCCTGTTCCTCCTCCCACCACTGCCGCAACACAGACCACTCAGCAGCAACCACACAGGAGGAGCAGTGGCCTCGCGCCGGGATTCACGTGCAGGGGCCCAGGCTGAGTGAGGCAGCAGTGTGTTCCGCTTGGCGGCTCCGGCAGCGTCTGGGCGGTCCCTGCCTGAGGACAGCAGTGGGACAGGCAGCCATGGATGGGCACCAGGACCCTCCCGCCTTCCTCCTGCTGCCCCCAGGCTGGGGTGGACACAGGACCTGGAGAGCTAGTGAGAGACACATTGGATCTCCATACTTAGCAAAGTACATCTGCTACATCCCGTTAGGGGAACAGGATTTCTGAACTCTGTTATAACCTTACGGGAACGCGGACATATATGCAGTTGGACGTTGCCCAAATGGATGTTAAGCGACACATACCTCTATGTGTGTATATGTCAATCAATACATAAATAATCAAACTTGTTGCCAGAAAATAGGTGTCTATGAAATATTTAGAAAAATTTATCACAGATGATGTCTCAAAGAAATAATCAAGAAATTTCAAACATTAGAAAGTCAAGCCAATTCTCTGACTTCCATATACTACACCTATAAATTAATAAGAAAAATAAATGCTCAAATACTTAAATAACCATCAAGTTAAAGCAGTAACTAAAACTACAATTACAAGCCATTTATAAATTAACAAAAATGACAGCATCACATACCAAATTTATAGAATGGCACCAAAGCTGCAATCAGAGGCAGACTCACAGGAGTAAAGGACTGGTATGTTCTGTTTAATGGGTTTGTTTTGTGTGTCTTTAATAATTTTCCACTGATGAAAATTAAGCTCTAGCCACTTGAATATTTCCTGAATGAGTAATCCATAATAAGCATGTAAAACACTATTCATAGGAAATAATTTTCTGAACCTAGTATCTGCTATTACTGTCTTTACTCTCGTTTATTTTGACCTGTTGTTCCTGCGCTGCATTTCTTTGGCACACCAGCCACTTGGCACCATATCTGGACTCCTGACACATACCTAATGCCTCCTTAAATTTAATAATTCTTGTGAACCCAATGTCTGACTTTGATCTTCAGTTTCTTGCATGCCATTTATAGTTACTTCTTGGTTCCACACAGCTAAAGTTACTGGTAAGAGGCACTCACACCTTCTACCCAGGACACAAGGGGCCTAGATAAGTTGGAAGAGCCCCACCTTGTCTTCCAACAAAAGAAGGGAAATTACACAGCAAAGATAAATTGTAACTTAGCTTAAGGGTATGTCATCTATATGGACCCTTATAAGTTTGTCACAGAATTAAATAAATATATACATGCATATGTGCATACATACATGTATACATGCATACATATGTACATAAAAGATACAGAAGCTACCTCCTATAACTATCTCATAGAACTCGCTCAGAAGTTATACAAAATACATACTCTTATATTTCAAATTCTAGTTCACTAGAACTAAAATAAAGAAATCATTTTTTCTCTGAGCTTCCCATGTTCAGTAAAATCACAAATACAGTATTTTATATAAAAAACATTAGATGGCAAACATTAGATGGCTATATTGTTTCTATACTGAACTCTTTAACATACATATAAATAAAAGTTGATTTGTGTTACATCTGATTTTTCAATTCAAATGTGATGTGTACTTTCCAAAAATTTTCGCATTAATATTGTTAGCCATTCTATTATTTCTACAGCAAGTACACCCTTTAATAAATTATAGTGCATTTCCTCAGCTCAGAGTTATTCCAGACAACAAAATGGTCTGTTTCCTGTAAAGAAACTATGAATAGTTGCTATAGACAACCATGATACTATAAGAGAAAAGATATTTGGCCCTTATTTCTATAAAAGTTCTCACTGAATTGTGTGCATGTAGAGAAAGAGAAATTTATGTAATCAAAATAATCCATGTGATGTTTAAACCTAATCATCATTCTTCTCCAATGTAGACGAGGTTCCAATGTATCCCTTACATTGGACATGAGTAGCCTGGGGAATGTTGAACCCTTTGTGGCTATACCAACCCCACGGGAGAAGGTAACAATGGAGTATCTACAGTCAGCCAGCCGGATTCTCACAAGGTCACAGCTGAGAGACGTCGTGACAAGTTCACACTTACTCCAAAGTGAATTCATGGTGAGACTGCTGTTTATTATTTACTCTTCAGTGGTATTTTGATACACTAGGCACTAGGGAAGGAGCCCTGGGGGCATGGTGGTTAAGCATTTGTCTGCTAACTGAAAGGTTGGTGATTCAAGAACCACCCAGCTGCTCCATGGGAGAAAGATATAGCAGTCTGTTTCTGTAAAAATTACAGCCTTGGAAACCCTATGGGGCAGTTCTACCCTCTCCTATAGGGTAGCTATGAGCCCGAATCGACTTGACAGCACTGGGTGTTTTTTTTTGTTTTTGTTTTTGGTAGAGATAATCCTGCGGAATTATGATGGTAGTTGAAACTAAGATAGTAGCAGTGAAAATGGAGAGACTCCACAGGACTCTACACGTTGTCATTAATTGGATGACCCACCCAAGGACAAGGAAGAAGTCAGAAATAATACCCCAATTTCTAGGTTGAGCAATGGGAGGGTGTGATGAAATAAGGAACACAGGAGGAAGACCAATTGTGGGCTAAAAATGATGGTGAATTTAAGTTTAGACCCACCAGTACTGCTGGGAATAGCTTAATCAAAACAACACATGCTTTCCCAGAGACCAAGGAATCAGATGAGACCTTTATTGCCCAAAGGGCATCTCCATTTTATGTCACCTTGCATCTTAAATCAGTTGGGCATCTTAAGCCATATCAGTTGAGTATGATAAATTGACCCTTCTAGCGTCAGTTCAAATATTTACAACCACTCTGCTGGTGAAAGATCTAGCAATGGGTTAGATCTACTCTTGGCCCGATGGACTATTGTTAAGTGTCCCAAGTAAAATACAAGCCTGGAGTTTTTTTAATTAGACTTTACAGTGTCATCTTGTTATATATGAAGAAAATGAGACCTACAGGAATGAAAGATCCATTCAATAACTACACATCTAGCTGAAGGCACAGCTGATATTCTTTTCTAGGGCCACAGATAGCTCTTTGTTTTATGAAAGAAGTCCTTAACATAGTCCACTTCCCTAAAAGGGAAGATAAGGAGTACCCAAGAGAGAAAGGATGCTGGAAGATTACAAATTGTCCGTGTGTGTCAGAAAACAAGAGGTGGGAAGGAAGGTGCAAGGGAGGAACAAAGACACTGCCTACTTCATGGTTTACCGAAACACACGGACCTGTTTGAAATTACCAAACTTGAACATGTGGTTTCTATTGTACATGCTACAGTTTTGCTTATTTTGGTACAGTGAAACCGAGACAGTAAAACCTTTTGTTGGAGCAGACAATAGAATGAGTATTATAAATATATAAAATAATACAATTTTAGGAAATGGCATTTAAAAAGTAATCTGCTCCTCTCTGTAGACCAGGTCTCAAATTCATAATATAGTCTGACTTATCTCAAATTTTCACATTGACAGAAAACTAGAACAACTTGAATTAATTTAGAGGTAATTTCTTTCCTTTCAATGAATATTAGCCCGTGACATTATATTTTTTCCATTGAAGAAAGTTTAAATAATAAAAGTACTATTTTATGTGATCTTAGAAGTTAATACTCATTGGTCATTAAATAATATAAAAGTTATTTTATTTCACATTAATCTTAGCTAAGCAATCCTTTGCAGAATTTTAAATTAGAGAACGTACTATTTTATATGATCGAATCCTTCAATATTTGTTTGGACCTTTCTGAAGACATTCACTGGCTGCTTTCCTTGTCCCAGTCAACTACAAATGCTCTCCGTTTTAGGTCTAATGCATTTCCATAGAGCCACTTCTGCTCTGATTTTTCCCTCTCCGATCATTTAAGATGTATGACACATCTTCTGACCAAATAAGAATATTTATATTTTTGTTAAGTGGGAGAATATAGTATTTGGATGTACTTCACTGAAAATATTGCATTTACAACCACAAATGGAACAGCCCAATTATAAACCATTCCCTAATATAAAAATGCATCACTTCCTCATTACTTAAATCAACAAAAAAGCCCTTTATACTGACCATGTTGGAAGGGAGGTTTCACTAATCCTTAAAGAGTCACAATTAATGTTATAAGGGAGTCCATCGTAGTGAAGTTTTCGTTACTGGATGATTTTGTTACTGAGTGTTTTGTTAGGTAATGATTTGAGAAAATTTGAACACATTGTTAAATCAATTTTTGTCCACTTGTTTATATAACTTTCAGCGATTGTATCAGAACAGGATTCTTAAAATTTAACCAAAGGTTTATGTGTCTCTTTAATAACCACGTATAAAATGATATTCTCTAACACGCAGAACTGTTTCTTAGAAGTAGTTAGTCAGGGTGCAGCTGACATGTTTATGAAAGGAAGGGTGTTGGTCAACCAGAGGTGGGAGTCTGTTGTTTTTTAAATTACTTTGAAGTCCAATAAAGCTGTGGAGCAGATGGCCCCCTGTGAAGAGCTTCTTTGTGGTAGCATTAGATACAGTAATCATACCATTTATTTTTGTAGGAAATACCGATGAACTTTGTGGATCCCAAAGAAATTGACATTCCACGGCATGGAACTAAAAATCGCTATAAGACTATTTTGCCGAGTAAGTTTCTTAAATTGAATAGTCTGTATTGTAAGACATAAACCTTCCCTCATTTACCCCTGCCTTATCACTTCCCATCCTTACATCACTGACATACACAACAAATTTGAAGCTGCAAACACATGTCAAGAATAGTAATTATTAAACTGGCCTGAAGTTAATAACTTGACCTTGTATTACTCTTGTTATAACGCTAGGCTCACAATTCCAGTAGATACATAGTTCTAAAACTTTATTGTGCCTCACGTTTAGGCTCAAATGGTTTTCCACAAGGGTGTCAAACAATTTAGTGGGAAAAGAATAGTCTTTTCAACAAATGGTGCTAGGATAATTGGATATTCAAATATAAAAGAAGAAGTTGAACCACTAACTCACACCATATTTAAAAAAAAATTATCTCTGTTGTTGTTGTTAGGTGCTGCGAGTTGGTTCCAATTTGTAGCTACCATACTTTTTTATAGACAGGATCCTGCGCCATCCTCACAATCATTGCTGTTAGGCCGATTGTTGCTGCTACTGTGTCAATGCATCTTGTTGAGGGTCTTCCTCTTTCTCGCTCACCCTCTATTTACCAAGCATGATGTCCTTCTCCAGGGACTGGTCCCTGCTGATAACATGTCCAGAGTACGTGAGACAAATCTCTCCATCCTAGCTTCTAAGGAGCATTCATTCTGGCTGTACTTCTTCCAAGACAGATTATCTCTAAAAAAAATTGTCTCTAAAAGGATCAAAGACCTAGATGCAAGAGCTAAAACTATAAAACCCTTAGAATAAACACATAGGTTTTTTTGTTTGTTTATTGTGATCTTGAATTAGTCAAGTTTCTTAGATATGACACACAGAAATGAAAATAAATGTCCACACAAAAACTTGTACACAAATGTTTGCAGCAGCATTATTTAGTAGCCAAACGGTAGAAACAACCCAAATGCCCATCAACTGCTGAATGGATAAATAAAATGTGGCATAAAATGGAATATTATTCAGCCATAAAAGGGAATTAAAGTATTGATACATGACACAGCATGTATGAACCTTGAAAATGTTATGCTAAGTGCAAGAAGCCAGCCACTAAAGACCTCATATTGTATAATTCTATTTCTATGAAATATCCAGATAGACAAATCTATAGAGACAGAAAATAGACTAGTGGTTGCCTAGGGCTTTGGGGAGGGATGAAGAGTGACTGCCAAAGGGTATGGGGTTCATTTTTAGGATGATGAAAATGTTATAAAATCAGTTGTGGTAAAGGTTGTACATTTCTGTGAGTATGCTAAAAGCCGTTGAATGGTACACTTTAAATGAGTCAATTGTATGATGTGTGAACTATAGTTCAACAGAAAAAAAAAAAAAAAAACCCAAACTCATTGCCGTCAAGTCAATTTCAACTCACAGTGACCCTACAGGACAGAGTAGAGCTGCCCCATATGGTTTCCAAGGATTGGCTGGTGGATTTGAACTGCTGACATTTTGGTTAGCAGCCATAGATCTTCACAACTGCTCCACCAGGGCTCTATATCTCAATAAAGCTGTTATCAAAAAGAGCTTTATTGTACATAACATTCATCTTTTTTTTTTCTTTTTTTTCATAGTTCTGTGCCCCACTCCCGGATATACTATTTCATTAAGTCCACTGTCAGGCCCAGGAAACTATAATTTTAGCAAACGCCCAGGTGATTCTAAGGAGGATGGTACCAGGATGCACTTGAGAGACACAACTATAAACTGTGTTAAAGCTAAGTTGAGATCCATGAAGTTCATTGATGTCAAGCAATGAGATGGATGCCAGGGCCCAGTAAGGAACAAGGAACAGTCTGTAAAATCAAGCTCATGGACTAGAGAGGAGAGACATGTAAACAAGTATTTATATTCCGTTTAATAGGAGCCATAATAGAAACATGGCCTGAGTATAGTAATATAAAGAGGACTGAGTAACTAATTCTGCCTGGAGCGGGCCAAAAGGCTTTGGCGAGAAAGTAACATTTTCAACCACTAAACAATAGATGTAGTTGGGTTTTGGCAAAATCCATAAATCTCTATCTACAATAGCTCAGAAAGATGAAGCCACACGGGCCTTAATGAAGTACTGACATTGAAATAATGGAGTCTTCATAATTGAGTCCAATAAATCACTCATAAGGTGCCAAATACTCCATATTTTTGCCAAGTATTAAAGTAGAGTAGTTAAGGAGTTAACTGTTAATGGTGTCCACTGGGAAGCAAAGACTATGTTAGTGCTTGCTTTCCCTTCTGGTAGAGTTGGAAGTACATCATTTTTAGAGTCACTCTCTATAACATACTTTTAACTGGTCTATACAGGTAAATCTATTTATCTAAGATATAGTCAGAGTCCGTGGGTGGTGCAAATGGTTTACACACTTGACTGCTAACAAAAAGTTGGAGGTTCAAGTCTACCCAGAGACTCTTCAGAAGAAAGCTCTAGAGATTCACTTCCAAAAAATCAGCTCTTGAAAACCCTGTGGAGCAGAGCTCTACTCTGACACACACAGGGTCTCCATGAGGTGAAATCAACTTGGTAGTAACTGGTTTTCAAGTATGGTTACTGTAGAATGGTATTTCATGGCTACAACTGGCAGACTGGGATGAAAATGCCAAATATTGACTAGTGTTCTCTCTCTTTTTCTATCTCTCTTTCTCTGTTAATTTTTTTTTAATCTAAAATATTCCAAACGTAAATAACCAGGGCATATACATCCATGCCAGTTATATCTACCTAATGATTAGGATTATTTTAAAAGTTCAGCCTTCTCTATTTCCTGTCCAGATGACATCAAACAACCGCTTCATAGTCCTGTGTCAGCTTTTCCATTCCCAGAACTGGGTGGATCACTTAAACCAGGGCACCTGTGCTGACAACTAATGTTGTACGTGATGAATTTTCTGTTGAAATTGTCTATAGCCTGAGTACTCCACCCACCCCCTATTGTCCAAATAATTATAATTTATGAAATATAGCTTAGAGAAGCCACACCCTTGGTTGAGAAGTCATCAGAAAAGGCTGGAGGGAATATGCCAAATTGTTCTTTATGGTTTATTTTAGACTATTAATATGATAGAAATTTGAAACATTACATAAAATAATGATTAGCATATGATCAAGATTTTAAATATTATGATCATTTTTGTTGTTTTACCCTATAGTCAACTCCTCTTAAGTTTAAAAGCTTGCCGACTTGTACATAATAGAGAGGTCTTGAGGATGTTTTGCAGTAACTATATGAATGGCCAGAAACCAATTAAATTACAGCTGTTTCACTGAGAACACTATCAGACTGATTCAGAACTACTACTAAATGGTAGCTTAAAGGGCTAAGATCAATTTTATATCAAATTATTTTGCAATATAAACAAATATTATTGATAAAAAAAGTCTAAATTCCAAATCATAAAAGCAATGGGGAAAAAACTGATTATATTTCAATATATTATTTGCACAAGTATAATAATAATAAAATTTTATGTATATTTCTTCCATGCATACTATTTATTTATACAAATATAAAACAATACATGCATAATTAAAGGAAGCCTATTTTCTCTGGCCATGATTTTATATTTAAAAATGTAATGTCTAATGTTGTTTCCTACCTACTTTATACTTCCTATTTTATTATATTGAGTGCCTAGCACAGAGTAGATATTGAAATAAATAAACCATTTGTTAAGGCAACAAGATGTGTGGATAAAGCAAAATATTGGAGTCAGACTGATCTCCCACCCTGGGCAAAAACGTTTACAATTTTTGGCAAGTTACTTAATCTTCCCATGCCATCCTTTCTTCCTCTGTAAAAATAGTGGTAATAATATTACCCCACAGGGCTGTTGAGAGAATTAAATTATAGTAAGTGTGAAATGCTGAGCAAAGTTTCAACTAATTGTAATCCCTCAGCTAATGTTAGTTTCTTCTTTCCCTCCAAATGTAGTTCAAGATGAAGCCGTCATTAACCAATTGCATAAAATAGGGATACTGTGTAGAGGAAACTTTACAGTTTCAAAAACAGAATACTCAAAGGCTGTGTTTGCTCCTATAATTTTCACATGGTTCTTCAAAAGTGAGTGTTCGTATAATCCCCGTCTTACATTGCCAAGATCAGCAGTGTCCACTAGAACTCTCTACAATGGTAGAAATGTTCATTATCTCCAGTATGGTAGCCACTAACCACCTGTGGCAACAGAACATTTGAAACACGGCTAGCACAACTGAAGAACTTATTTTACTTTATTTTAATTAAGTTGAATTTAATTGGCCACATTGGCTAGTGTCCACCATATTGGACAGTGCAGGCCTAGGGTCTTCTCTCTCTCCTGCCACAAATTTGAAAAATGAGTCCCAGTTACCTTAAAGGTTAGGCCAGTCCCTGCTTTCCTCTCATTTCCCACTTATCCTGCAGCCATCTATAAAAACCATCCTATTCCTCTCATCCCTGCTTTGCTCATCTCTAGCGGTGACACACTTCTCCCCCATCTAATCGCTTCTTCTCTTGACTTCAAACCTAAAACCCATTTCTTCCTGGAGGGAAAAGCTTGAGGACAGAAAAATCCCTTGAAAAAATCTGATATGATGACAGTCAAAATATCAAGATTCAGGTACCATTTCATCTGTTGAAAAGAAATCTTAAGATCACCAGAAGGTATTTTAGAGTGACCAGGGTGGGGAAACTTCATACATTCTATACACCAAGTGTATATGTGTTCACTAATTTGCTGAGAGGAAGGAAGAAAAAGGAAGCAGGGAAAAAGGGAGGGAGGGAGAAATGAAACAAAGGAAGGAAAAGGAGGGAGGGAGGGAGAGAAGAAGAAAGGAAAGAAAGGAGGGAGGGAGGAAGGAAAGAAAGGAAGAAAAGAAAATGAGAAGGGCAGAAAAAAGAGAGGAAAAGTGATCAGTGCTAAAGTAATATTGGTAATTGTTATTGATACTATGCAGATGTATGATAAATAGCATGCTATTTAATATATAATTCAGAAATCTCCATTCTAAA